CCGACTTACGAGCCTGCCTTGCGTTACGGAAAGCAGCCCGAGATTCACCACATCTTCCGATCCGAGCCCAAGAACCCACCCAAGATTGTGTCCATCTTCTTCGCACTGGCGGTTGTCGCTACTATTCCAGCTCTGTTCGTGGGTGTAAGTAAACTATCTGGAACTACCCTCCTTTAAATGTTCCGCCATTGCTAACCGTTCGACCAGTGGCTTCTGCTCGGCGCCAATGTGTCTCACATCGGAGAGGCTCTGAGCAGCGCTCCCATTTCCCACCTCGCCTTTTTCGGCTCCGTCATTTCCATGGAGGGTGTCTTCTTCCTGTACTACAGCAGCTGGAACCTGTTCGCTACCATGCCGGCTATCGGCATTGTTGGCCTTGTTGCCTTCCTCAGTGGTACCAAGGCCCTGGGCGAGGTCCAGCGCAGACGTCTTGCTGGAAAGAGGTAAACGAGGCAGGCAACCTGAACGGGCCTGAGATGGCTGGGTTCACTCCCCAGTACCAAAAGATGTTTACAAAATGAGAGATGTCGATGTCGCATGCGATCAGTGGTAGCCCTCCAGCGAATGGATTAGGGAGCGTCGGGTTTAGATTGTCCTCGATGGGCATGTACTGTACAATTATTCATAGAGCGCTCTTTTTCGAATGGATCACGAGAGCATCGAACGCGTAATATATCACGACCGTATGGCGAATGGCGAGTGGCGCCCATGTATATTCTGCCTAACAAAGACACAGCGCATCGAAGCGAAATACGGACCACCAACAAGTTCCGTCGTCACTGCTGTCAACAGGGATTGCGTGTCCCGAAACCTCAGGGAATCATGCCCGGAAGATAAAGGCGTAACACGTAGCACCGCAATGAAAACAATTAGTTCTGAGAAGCCATATGGCATAGCCTGGTCAAGCCGCGACTCAATGCACTAGTGATGATGACGAATGAATGGAATCTATTCCCGCACGTCAAGAGTCCAATATAGGTGAGTAAGGGAGCGGGCTTTCTCCCTTTTGGGGGACGGGAAATCGGGTTGGGCCTCGGCATCCTCCACTCAAAGTCATGAGATTCTGGCCAACGTCTACTGATGCTCCATGTTGAAGGGTTGCCTACATAATAGTTCCCTGTTCGCTCTTTGGCTCGCGGGAGCACTTCAAAACCTTAGTTCCACATACGCCACCTTGCATATCCGCAGTCGATAACCAGCGCTTTTGGCTTACGTATTAACGGCATCCAATCCGCAGTTCATCATGACAGGGTCGTACGTCCAGTTTTCTGTCTGATATTATACAACCGCCCTTTCTTTTTTGAGGCGCATGCTGATATGCTCTACGATCTATAGAACTGTGAAGTTCCCAACAGCCGAGGAAACTCTCGAGCACCCTGCATATCAAACTACGGTATGGGGTCTTGAGCCTCACCAGCATGGCCTTTTCCCGGCTGCGAAGGGCCGCGGCGGGCCTATTAACATCGCATGGGAAGTCCATGGTTCCGGCCCTACCAAGATTGTCGTGAGTCTAAAGAAACCTAGTCGTGTTCCACCGGTGCGCCTCACAATCCGATGCTAATCTCGGCTCAATGTATAGTTCATAATGGGCTTGGCTGGTGCCGCGTTCGCATGGCAGTGCCAAACTCTCTACTTTGGTCATGACAAGGGCGACGAGTACTCTGTTCTCGTGCTGGACAACCGAGGCATCGGTGGAAGCGACAAGCCCTTGCTGCGGTACTCGACTAGTGAGATGGCTCTTGACATAATCGAGATTCTTGACCATCTTGGCTGGACAAAGGAGGATCGCCAGGTTCACGTCGCAGGCATCTCGCTCGGAGGCATGATCGCCCAGGAGATTGCCTACAAAATACCAGAGAAGCTCAGCTCGCTCAACCTCCTATGCACCACGGCCGAGTTCAAGAATGCAACCAACTATGGAGACTACTTCCGGGAGCGCCTCTTCTTCCTCGTCCCGACGTCCGAGGAGGACAATATCCTGGGCACAGCCCGCAAGTGTTTCCCGGAGGAGTGGCTTGCCTTGCCCGATGAGAGCCCCCTGCCTGACCCGAGCACGACGCCCAAGTGCAAGCCTGCCCCCGGCACTGAAGATGGGAAATATCTCCGCTTCGACTCCAATTACCAGCGTTTCATGGCCCAGAGCCTGTTGAAGCGCCGCGTGCCTGGGTTCTTCACCCGCCAGGGATTCATCTGTCAGCTGATGGCTGCGGGATGGCACAGGAAGAGTGAGGAGCAGTTGCGCCAGATCGCGGACACGGTAGGAAGGGATAGAATCATGGTCCTCCACGGAACCATTGACAAGATGGTCAGCCCCCCCAATGGCGAGCGACTAGTAAAGATCATCGAGCCTACCAAGAGCGTCGTCGTGGAAGGCATGGGCCACGCCCCTCCACTGGAGAGGGCGCAGTGGCTGAATGAGCTGCTCGAGGAGAGGATTCGCGAATGTGAGAAGTTGTAAGAGTATGCTTTCTATACCTATGCGTATACGTATCGAGGATATATTTTGATTTATAAGTAAGGTGTTGATGGGGCTTTTCGCTACTCTTGTTTCTTTTCGATATGTCGTTATGATAGAATCTCTGGACGTTCGCCCAATCAAATTCAGATAGCTTTAGTCATTTATTTGGCTATTTATTTATTTATTCTTGAATTGCAGGAACCTCACAGCATCACTAGACCAACTCCACTTAGGTTTTCAGTGTCGAGCAGGTTCTTGCGGTCCACTCCTCCAGCAATATGGTTGGCACGGTAGTTGAATAAGTAGTAATGTAACTGGCCGTCGCCACCGCCGAACTTCTGCTGATCCAGGAACAGGCCGTTGTGCATCAGGGACAGAGCATTGAAGACGTCGAACCTGGCGTTCTTGGCCAAGATTAGTGCATCGTGCATAAGGTCGTTGAGGCGCGTCTTGTGTGCGTCACGGTCATAGGTTTCTGTGAGAGCACTCTCCGATGCGTAGTAGAAGAGGTAGGCAACTCGAATGACTTCGTGTTTCGAGTTCCTGATGACGGAAGATTCAATGCAGTTGAAGGAGAAGAAGTCGGTGATTTTCCCATCCTTGTCCTTTTACGTTGTCAGTATGTCGCCGCTAGGTTTATATCATAAAAAGGAAGACTCACCTCAACAACGTATGTCCAAATGACCTGATCCGCATCCGATTCGCGCTTGGGCAAGAACCAGTGGAACATTTCATCCTTCGAAAATTGCGGCGCAAGATCAAACTTGGCCATGTATCGGCCGAAGAGCTCTATCACGGCGTCCATGTCCTTCTCCTCCATAGCTCTTAGGCCCTTGGTCGATGGGCTGTCAGGCAGTGCATACTTGCGGACCTGATAGTGCGGTTTGCTTCCCGCCGGAAGGGGGCTGAACCCACATTCGTAGAGTTTCTGCCAGTTGAGGGCGCGGTGGAAGTAGCGGCAAGTTGTGACAGGGCGGGGGAGGACGATTCCAGCCGTGTGCACGCCTTGCCAGATGCCATCGAGGTTGCTAATACGAGTGATCTCCTTGATGAGGACAGGAGCCAGGCGCTTTCCACGCAACTTCTTATGGACACAGAGGAAGTTGACTTCAGAGCAGAGGATCGTCTTGTCGCGAACACGGATGTGCTGAGGAATAGCGGAGATAAAAGCAACAAGTTTGCGGGACTGCGAGGCGCGGACGCCAACGTGGTACCGTTTTTGCCATCCTGGAGCCATCATCGCCCTGGTACAGATTAGTTAGTATGAGTGTTGTTGAAGCGTACAATAGTACATACCACCGGAGGAAAGCGGGAGAGTAATTGAAACGGAACATGGCCTCATCGTCCTCAACATAGTGACCATTCAACAATTCATACACCTCCTTGATCTCCTCATCGCTCGTCAAATCCATTACCACCCACTCGAATCCAGGGACCAGGGCCGCTGGTTCTTTGGACACATCCTCGACCGTCTGGACCCTGATAGGGCCGTCCTCGAACTTTTCCTTCTCATCGAACCGCGGTACGGGCTGGGTCTGCCAGAATTTGTAGGCTCCCATGTCCTTGACGTTCTTACCTCCCGCCGCCAGGCCGGTCATGATCTCCTGCAGAGACATCTTCTTCAGCTCGTTGGCAGCTTGGTCCGCGGAGGGGTTCGCACTTCCAGACGCCTCGGCGATGCCTTGCGCCAGCGCTGGGTTCAGGGACAGCAGCTCCTTCAGCTGCTGGTGGGTCAAGCCGCCCAGGGCCTTCTTGATGTCTGCCTCCTGGTCGCCAGACTTGCCAGTCAGGAGCTCCTTTGCCTTCTTCCTCTTCGACTTCTTCTTCTTCTTCCCAGAGCTGGACGAAGCCCCGGGCGCTGCTTCAGCAGTGTCGGGCGCATGGTCGTCTTCCTCTTCGGACTCGGACTCGACGGCGGGCTGCTTGCCCTTGAGCTGGGCGTCCGTCTGTTCGGTGACGGGATCGACCGGCTTGGATTCCTCGGCGGGCGCCATGTTCACCGGCGTCTGCAGAGTCAGCGAAATTGGCTGTTGTTCGCTGAGTGGCGAGCTAAAATAGGTCGACGTTTAAGCCCTGGTGACGTCGGAGTGAAGATTTACGTGCGGCACGACGCGGATGGCGGGGTAGATGCGAAGTGGCCAAAGCTACCGTGGGGTCACGTCCACAGAATTCCACCTAGCCCACTCAGAGAAGAGGATGCGTCTAAACCGGGCGCAAGAATTCTGGAATAAATAATAGATATATAGTGTGATTTATTTAGGCAGCCGTGTAAATGCTTAAATGTTTACTTTTCCTCATAAATCTCGACAACGTGTCATTTTGAAATCAATTGGATGCAGCCTATTCAAATTGTCCACCTGAAGTGATAGGCAACGTGGCGAAATGTACGACACGCACGGGTGTCGTCCTCAACTTCTTAGACGAAAATCAGGCGGCAGGAGAAGGAGATCTATATTGAATCTATATAGACGGCTCTAGGTAAATGTGGTGCGACACGAAGACAAGCAAGAACATTGAACTAGGAGTTTAGGGACGGATTGCATTACGAGGCATAGGTGGTACCATGGAGCTCAAAGGACCGCATGATTGCCAGTGTAACAGGGGCAGATCCCATAATGTTATTGTGGCCTAAACGCTTTTAGCTTCTGATGTATTTTCATAGAGTGACTTTGGAGTGATCTTACCGCCATAAGGGAAAAGTTCCTGGTGAACCATGATGTTGGGACTAGCTTTCCAGGTAGTTCTGAACGCATTCTGGCTGATTTGGTCGGTTCTTTCCTGTTTCCAGGTCTCGAATTCCGCATCATCTGTGATATTCTCCCTTCCTTGGACCGCAGCCTTGAACAGCTTGTTGTCCTCTGTCCACGGAATGTCTGGGTCATCAAAGGAGTGAACCAAATTGAGCCGGAGTCTGGACTTGGTACTCTGAACAATTGTAGAGAGCCTGTTTGCTGAGTGCCATTTATCAACTACGCATTTTTGCAAAAGCTGCAGCAGTGGTTGCCAGCTGCGGAAGGGTGCGAGCACTGGGACCAGTCCATGGATGCGGTACTCGCTCAGCATACTCGTCAAATCACTGAAGCCAGCGACAAGAACGATACCGGCGAACTCGACGCCTTTCAGGGCGTACCTCTCAGCAACACCGCTGACAACTGCGGTGCCAAGACTTTGTCCCAGGAGTACAATCCGCTCTGGTGGCACACCAGCAACATTGATAGCCCACTCAACGAGTGTCGAGCCATCCTCGATCAAGCCGCTCTCGCTGGGGACGCCGGTGGAGTGGCCAAAACCGCGATAGTCGACAGCCAATACGTGGTAAGATGATGTATCAGTTAGGGTGTGATAGCTAAATGGGCGAAACGCTTGCGCGATATGACCTGCATTCTATCTCGACAAATCAGCGAATGATCAACCAGCTGGAGCCTCTGATTGGTGGTTTTACCCCGTGAACTGTCGAGGGTTAGCGACGTGTGACGATTTTACGAGCCGCAGATCTTCTTTCTCTTACAATACAATACTAATCTAGCTTCAGGATCATGCTTCAAAAGTCGGAACGACTCGGTAGTGGTAACATCATCGGCAAAGCCTGGCGCCCGAGCAGCTAGGCTAGCCTCGTTCTGCAAATACAGGGGGAGGGGCAGGAGGTGCCAGGCATAGATCCTCTCCCCGTCAGAGGTGTTGAGCTTGAACGGCGTCACTTGATTTCCTACAGGCCATGGTGTGAGCACGGCTAAGTGGTCTGTCTATATTGGGCGTGCAAGGGGGTAGACTGACTGGCGAATCCCCATCTCTCAGGCTCATTTACATCAGTCCAGGACAGTGTGTTCACCTTATGAGCATAGAGAAAGCTGTGGCGGAGCAAAGGTCAGCTCGCGGCGCAGCATCCCTGGCTTAGTCCCTTGGAGAACGTCCACTCACTGTCTCTGGAAGAAGGGTGTCGCGGCCAGGCCGATGAAGATGGCATAGAGGCCAAGCGGCGCGGCCACCGCCCAGATGGAGCTCCGCAGAGTCGGAGCGAGAGAGCGGACCATTTCAATGGACGAGAGAGGGAACACAAGGAGCGACCCAGACGATCACCATGCGCAGCCAAGTTACAGCCAGAGACACTGCGAGGTTGGGCGATGTGTCAGCCAACAGCAAATAAGAGCAAGCTAGTTTGTGGCGGGCTCAGCTCAGCGCAGAGCACGTGCCGATTAGTGATCGTAACCTCTCGCATCGCCAGAGCTGGGCTATTCTCGGATGGGGATGATGCTGGCTGCGATGGCTCAATTGAGGGAGCTTTGAAGCCACGGGCCACCAATCTATCACGGACCTGGACCTCACCACAGGAACTGCACAAGACTATTAGCCTGGGTCCATGGAGACTTGCCAGGACAGCTATTGGGACTAAAGAATAACAACAAGTTGGCTGGTTTCACCGATCCTGGGCCACTAACATGGCCTGGACTCCGCCTTTCTGATCGCTAGGCCAATCAGAGGCCCTTGTGCACCAAGGTCGCTACAGCGCGCGCGTCGACGAACCAAGACGGATGTCCTTCATTCGACAGCTTCCAATGCGCCATCATCCCTACTCTTCCTCCATCGAGCCTCTGCACGCTCCATCTAGGTAGGGCCAGTCACTCTCTGTCAGCAAATTGTGCATAAGGGCTTTTGGCTCTGCTGTCCCAATCCGCGTGGTTGTCGGCCCACCTCGACCGTATCCTGTATGGCTCTGGCACCAACCTAGGACGACTTATGATGACCACCTCGTCGCCCGCTCTCTAACTTTTTTTCTGGTCTGGTGTGAGAGGTGGCCAGCTCTTTCTGGCACCATGGAGAAGAAGAGAAAGCTGCCACCCAGGGCGGCAGCTCGTGTTGAGAGTGCTGCCAAGCGAAGGCACTCGACGCCTCGATCAGAAACACCAGCTCCTGTACAACCTGTCGAGGAGCCGGTTCCCTCACAACCACCACCGACGCCTCCGCCGTCGCTACCCAACTCTGTCCAAGCTGGCAAACCCCTGCCGACCGTGGAGGATGCGCAAAGCGACGACCTGTCTTCCAAGGAATATCAGTCAGTCGGCGAGAGGTAAGTTGGAAGCGAAAGATGGCCGCCTCGCTTGGCACCCTGAGACTGAGCTAACATATTTCTCCCGCCAGTGGTGTGCTCACCGAATCGCTTTCTCGGTCACGGCAGAAATGGACACACGAAGGACTTTTCGAGAAATACTGGACAAAACCACACAAGCGTAAAGGTGTCGTCCACGAAGATCCCAAGAATCCGCCAAAAGACAGCATGACCAAGGTCGGGGTGGTCACGATTACAATTGAACCGCATGTTGTAGAGGCAACAATGTACATTGTGAAGGATCCCAAGCCTCGTTTACCGCAGAATCAGCAGCAGCAGCAACAGAACCAGCAACAGCAACCGCTGCCGCCAAACCGACCTATTATTCAGTATGGCCCTCCAAATGGGACGATGCCTTCACCCAAACCCGTCGCAGCATCTCCCGCCCCAGACCCTGCGACTGCCAGACCTGCGGCTTCACCAGCGAACCAAAATCCAGCACCGATATCGCCGGCGCCTTCAAACAGTCACGTTCCGGTGCCAGCTGAGCCTACGAACCCTGCTGCTCCCCCGACACCAACAACCAACAATAGTCCAGCACCAACACCAGCAGGGCCTAGCTACCCCCCTAGACCGCAACCTCCGCCTACAACTCCTGCAAGAACCGCACCACCAGGACAGTCAACACCGACTGTTGGCCAAGCCGCAACACCCTCATACCCCCCTAGGACATCGACACACCCAACCCCTGGTCAGGCAATGGCTCCGCCAGCTGCAACACCAATGGCGGCGCCACGGCCCCCAACCGCGGCACATCCTACATCGGGGCAGTCTCCTGGGCTGAATAAGCCACCAACAGCGCCGGCTCCTGCAGCAAAACCTGCGGCCAACGACCCCGTGATTGCTTTGCTGGCACAAAAAGCTTCAGGGGATGTCGAACTCCGGGATCTGATGAAGAGAGTGGCTGTCGGACAGGCAAAGGAAGGGGAGCTTGCCCATTTCCAAAAGATTATTGATCAGCTGAATGCTGAATATAAAAGAAACGGTGGCCAGCAGGGGCCCTCTGCCGATCGATTACTTGTCGATGGAAGAACTGTCAAATATTTTGCAGAGGAAGTACGGGCCATCCTTGATATTGTCCTAGCCTCCAATCCCCAGCAGAGATCTACGGATTTAAGGCCACCACCTCGCAGCGACCCCCTCGTCGTCTTGCTTGTGAAGGAAGCTCTGGACATTGCCAAGACAAGAGATATCATTAGGAGGATTGCCGAGGGGCGACCTGGTTACACTGATTCAACAGACTTGAGGGACGTATTGGATAGATTACATAAGAGCATGAAGGTCTTGCCCAAGAACCCTCCCGCGACGCCACAAGCGAGGCAACCAACTCCTGCAGCTACTCCAAATGGCTTGACCCCCAACGGCGGCCAGGCTCGCGGTCTGACCGCCCATTCAGCAGCACATCCCAACGCCCAAACCTTGCGGTCCAAGGGGCCCGCGCCTGCTCCAAAGCCGGACATTTCCGCGGTTGTATTCGACTTTGGCACCGGAGATCGGTACCGCTTCCCCAAATTCAGCGTATTAGAGTACCTACCTACCTCACCAGGCCAGCAAGTCGTCGCCTCATTCCTCATTGTTCGCAAGGGCAGTATCTCGGAGTATGGAAGCGACCCAGATCTTGACTATTATCAGCCTATCACCGTGCGACTGTATGCGAGCACAGGGAGGCATTTGGAGAACCTGGCCCGCGTGGTGGCTCCCCAGGAGGAGGTTCGCCGGTACATGGATGATGTAATGGACAACATGACGCGTGCCGAGTATGTTTTGCTCGCCATGCGTCTCCCTCACGCGCCCAAGGACGGCGATAAGGAGCTCAATGGCAACTACAGCAATGAGGAGTCCAAGACAGCTGGGTCCACCCCGCAGGCTGCGGATACCGATCAGGAGCAGTCTGCAGGCTCGGACAAACCTTCGGTGCTGTGGGCTCCCGCGGCCCCCTCGAAGAAGCGTTCGGCCTCGCGGCGCCTTGGGAAGCACCGTGACCACGATGATGAAGCCCAGCTGCAGTATCAAAAGCTGATTGGCTCTGTGGCGGCGAAAGAGACCGAGGCCGAGTAGGGGACGTATCGCAGTTTCATTTTGTTGGGGCTGTTGAGTGGGAAAAAACTGTAATTTACACTAGGTTTTCATTTTACGACGGGTCATAGTTTCATGGAGCGAGGACATGCACAAGGTCTTTGGAATATTACACAAGAATATCATCGTTATGGAGTAGGGAAGGTATGGCGCCATTACCCTCAGGGCGGCTTGAATGCATGAGCGATGGTTTAGTTCATTTATACGAATTCGCAATTACTCTCCGGGATTATCATATTCCCCTCGCCATTGAAGGTCATTGAAGAGCCCCCTTGAGGAGGTAATCGGTTACCTACGGCCGGCCGACTGAGGTTTGTTTCGGTCCACGCTTGCGAGCCCCGTGGCCGTTGTGCAACGATTCAGCCAGAACACTCGAACGGGTAGCCGGTGCGTCAAATTCCCAAGCTGGAGAAACCTTCCAGACAAAATTCTATCACCTCGTCGGTCCTGACGTTGTGTTCCCCATGAGTGGCCCGGGCAACGCGCCGCCAGCATTCCAGCCTTTGGACAGGCGGCCTTGCCCCCTACCCTCCCTTGAACGCTCATGAAGATATACTTGGGTCGGCAGCATCCCGGCTTCTATGCACGGGGAGGCTGCATAGCCCCCGGAACATCCCTAACCGGGCACGACGGGCACCATGACGCAGCTACCAAACTTTTCAAGGAAGGCCTCTGGGTCATCCGCCTCGCTCAAGACGCTCTGTGACGCCTCCTCCGCGCAGCAGTCCTGGGGTGACTCCGAGAAGGGCTTGTCGGAGCTCGAGGACGAGATACGGGCCATCAAGCAGGCGAAGCGGGCGTCCACGTCGACGGGCTCCTCGCTGTCCGACTGGACCACCCTCCTGGGCGGGTTCATGTCTCTGGTGGCGACGGGGGGCATAGGGAACGCCACCGGCCTTGTGCAGACGTACTGGGAGAACAACCAGCTGAGGGACTTTTCGTCTCGCGACATTGGATGGATTGCTGGCACGAACATCTGCCTGTCGCTCTTTTTGCCCGTGCTGTCTGGGCCGGTTTACGACCGGTATGGGCCGCTGTGGCTGATGATTGGGGGGAGTGCGTCGTTTGTGGTGGGTGTCTTTGTTATGAGCTTTCTCAACAACCCGGAGTTGCCCCAGATGACCTACGGGCTGCTGCTTCTTACCTGGGGCATCATGGGCGGGGCGGGCAATGGGCTCGTAGCTACGGCTGTTTCGGGAGCTGTCTGCCAGCGGTTTGATAAGAGGAGGGGGTTGGCGAATGGGATTGCTTCGGGCGGTAACTCCGTCGGGGGTGTTGTATGGCCGATGATGCTCCGGGAAACACTGAGCCGTTGGGGATGGCAGTGGGCTGTCCGGCTGGTGGGAGGGATTGCGTTGGTGTTGGTCGCTCTGGGTTGTGTTTTGGTCAGACCGCCGCCCCAGATGGTGGTGACAGCCAAAAGGGAGGCGGAGATCAAGAAAGCGGAGGGGAGGAAAGAGGCCAAGGCCAAGGTCTTGAAGAGATGCGTCATTGAGGGTGCCGAGTGTTTTAAGAAAGCCGACTTTGTCTGGATGACGGCAAGTCTCGCCATCTTCCAGTTTACCGTGATGGGCGTGGCGGGAACTCTCCCGTCGTGGGGGGAAGGCCAGGGTTTTGACCAGACATCCCTATTCAACCTCGTGGCGGTGATGAATGCGTAAGTCGTCTCTTGTTTGGTTATATACTGTCAGTGAGGCTGTTGCTGATATCTCGAATAGCGCGGCAGCAACTGGACGAATAGCAGTTGGCGCTCTCTCCGACACCATTGGCCGCTTTAACACATGTGTGGCCATCATGACGCTCTCAGTTATTGTCATGTTTGGATTATTCTTCAACGTAGGTGGCACGATC